ACAGAATAAAAACAACACTGCGTTATCTGTCAGTTATTACCGTTCTGTACAACCTTGAATAGTAAATGTAGCTATTCAAGTGCTCACTGCTGTATTACACGTTATTACCACATCATAATCATCATCTGGACTTAAAAACTAGGCATGGAATTTTAAATAGAGGAGTAATTATTACATTTTCAAGGCACTACTATATTGAAAAAGACTATCAATTAATAATGCAGAGGCAGTTCTCTCTTGTGTTTATCCACTCCAGAGTTGGTTCTTACGTAAGGTTTCTCAGTCTGGCTTCATTTGGCATCATTGGTGAGGGTGCTCCATCTCTTTCCCAATGTGTAGGTTTGGAGAGATAGATTTGTTCAAACTTCAGAAGATACCGGGGCTGGAAAACAAGAATACACTTATTTGTAATGGAAGAAACACCCACTTTGGTTGTTCAAGAGAGGCCCTTAGTAGCAACCTTTGAAAACCCTGACCTAACTTCAGCTGAAGAAAGCCAACAGAATATTTCAGCCATAAACTTTTCTTGCCATGCTAAAGCTACTGAAAATCAAAATCCCACCAAAACTTGCTTTTGGCTACCTGACTTGCTCTACCACGTCTCTGTCCATGCAGTTTGGCACAGTAATTGACAATATCAGAAGCCAATTGTTCTTGGTCACTTCTCAACCAGCAGGACATAGTAACTCTATACAACAAGGAAGTTCAATTCCACAGATAACAAAGCTCTTGCACATGTTTCTCAGTCAAATAACTGATTGTTTGACAACTTAGCCACATATCTCATACTCCAAAGAGTTCATCCTTCTGTCTATTGACTGCATGAGCAGCATAATTCAGATGTACTTCCATCTCTTGAGACAGGGCCTGAATAAATCCGATGTAAAATGATTTTGACTGTAAAAACACATCATCTCTGCCGGGGTTCTCCACTTACCGGCTCTTCCACTTCTCCCGAGGCATGCTGGGCTTCAGCTTGTAAATCAATTGGTGGGGCATCTTCAACAATTCTTTGCACAGACATCTGAATAAACTCATCAAAAGAATCCAACTGTTGCCTGACTAAACCCTTTTCATCAAAGTAGGAGCTAAAATCAAAAAAAGTACATTAATGAACAAGAAATCTTAATTTAATTCAAGTATTTCACACATCAACAAGCTTAAGATTTATAACAAAACCTAAAAAAGCCATGAAATGCAGCAGAGAATCAAACACATTCACTTATCCCAAGGCATGAGTTTCAAACACAGATGTTCAAAAACGTTTAACAATTCTCTTACTGCTTGAAGACACAGACACTACAAAGTGACAGATGTGCTGCCACCTCCTGGCTAGGCCATGACTGCACGCACAGTAGTGAAAGCGGCTTCAGGTAAAGTTTTACCAACCACGTCTGTAAATTATTTTGCTTTAACTAGTTTTCCAAGCTGCAGTAAACTGAGAGCATGCCCCTAAGTCCAAGTAATAGTTCTCAGAACTCCTCTTGGCTTGGATCTCCCCTGTGCCAGCTTCACTCCTTCTCCAGATTTCCCTTAGCCTTTGGGTCACCTAACTCCAACCCAGCAAAACCTAACTGTAAAAATCAAAGCCTAAATTTGAAGCCCCGCATCCTGACTTTTGATGGGATTAACTGAACATGTCTGCTGCATCAGCTCCTGCCAGTAAACTCCTCTACTTCAGTGAGGTATTACTGAAGTGAGCCAGGGAACCTACATTACCTCAGCTTCTGTCCCATCACAATTGTGTGTCCATTAGTGGACAAAATCATGTGCTTGATATGGAACCAAAACCACCTCTTACTTAATTGAAAACAGTGTCCCCCCCCGCCAAGGGATCAGTGGGGGTTCTTCATCCCTCATGACAACCTTTCTGTTTTTGCTTAAAGCCCTTCTGCTCTGAATGTGCTACAACACACAGTTCAGCACAATCAAGCCTGCAGGTCTCAGGATGTGTTCCCAGCAAAGCAGACGCCACCTGTGAGGCTGAGAGCACACGCATCAAAGGGTTAAAGAACAGTGAGTTTTAGTCAGTCACCTAATGACAATCCAGCAGGCTTCTTGCCACAGGTCAGGTGTGATTTCATCATCGTCCTCATCATACTGCATATCTGCGGGGAAAGAAGCACAGCATGTGAGCCAGGCTCCCATCACCACCTCAGTGTCCCTCCTGGCCAGCTGAGAGACCCTCTGGCACCCCAGCAGCACCCACAGCTCATTTTCTGATTAACAGGAAGCTGAACATGAGCCAGCAGTGTGCCCACGTGGCCAAGAAGGCCAATGGCATCCTGGCCTGTATCAGGAATACTGAACCCAGTAGGACCAGCAAAGTGATTCTTTCCCTCTACTTGGCACTGGTGAGGCCATATCTGGAGTATGGTGTCCAGTTCTGGGCCCCTCAGTTTAGGAAGGACATCGAGGTGCTGGAGCAGGTCCAGAGAAGGGTAACGAGGCTGGTGAAGAGACTGGAGCACAGGCCCTATGAGGAGCAGCTGAAGGAGCTGGGGCTGTTCAGCCTGGAGAAGAGGGGACTCAGGGGAGACCTCATCACTCTCTACAACTATCTGAAAGGAGGTTGTAGCCGGGTGGGGGTCGGTCTCTTCTCCCAAGCAAGAGGGCATGGTCTTAAGCTGCGCCAGGGGAGGTTTAGGTTGGACATGAAGAAGTTCTTTACAGAGAGAGTGATCGGGCACTGGAATGGGCTCCCCAGGGAGGTGGTGGAGTCACCGTCCCTGGGGGTTTTTAAGAAGAGACTGGATGTGGCACTTAGTGCTATGGTCTAGTAGGCAAGGTGGTGTTAGGTCAAAGGTTGGACACGATGATCTCAGAGGTCTTTTCCAACCTAATTGATTCCGTGATTCTGTGGCCGTCCGGCTCCCGCCGAAGAGCCCACCGCGACCGGCCCATCCTCCCACTCCCAGCTCCTACGGAAGATCCCAGCGCGCCCGTAGCATCCCTCCGGCTCCTGCGGGCCCCG